TTTTCTTTTTTGATGTGAGTTATTGAAATCGCAATGAACTATTCATTTGAAAGGATATATCATGTGAGAATATTCGCGGAATTATTTAATAATTTCGGTAAAAGTTTTTTTTGACAATTTTTTTTTCGTGGGTTTTGCGGCAACTTTTTTGACGTCACCAAAAATATTTGGTCATTCAACACAGCGAATCTTTGGATAATGTCACGATTGAATGCTGGACATAGCTCAGAACTTGTTCAAAACCTTTTTATAGAAAAAATCCGAAAAACCTTACCAAGCCGTTCTCAACTAGTTTGCATGATATTAATTGTTTTCGCTTGGGATAATATGGTGAAAGTAAGAAATAAGAAAAAAGTAAATAATGTTATTGTTACAGTTGTAGCTGTTGTAAGAATTGTAATAGTTAGTTGTCATTTAGATAGTTTAAACTGATTGAATGCATTTGCAGTAATAGCAGTGGTCATTTATCAATAGTAATCTTCAGCAACTGGCAGTTACTGAGTGCGGTTTTTTATCTCTTATTAAAAACCTTTTTCTTAGGAATTTGTTTTTGTCTTCTGTTGCTAATTTGTTGCTGAAATCTTCTTGTCTTCATGTCTTTCAGTTTCTCTTATTTTTGCATCCAGTAATCACGATTACTTGATGCATTTGCTGATTACTGATTTCTTGAATTTGGTAAATGTATAATCCCTGGAGATTTATTAACATATCATATTGCTTGCAATACATAAAACACAAATATGCACTCTCTTTAAATACCAATTTTTATTTCTTCTCTCAAATTTTAAATTTATTAAGAAAGTAGTTCTGATGATCGTGATTAATGATTAATTGTGAAACAACACCGTCTATTTTACTGTTTCTTAGCATTTTTGGTCCTTTTCATATTCGTCCCAATAGATCAAAAAGTAGTGAAACATCAACAGTAGTTATCAAATAAATGGTTTAATGAGTGTCATTTTCAGCATTAATGTTTTCACATACTCGGTTACCTTTAATGTAAAGAACTAATGTGAGAAACTTATCTGTTACAAATTATTTCTAATAAGAAATGTTTTTACTACCCAAACTGTAAATGCACTTTTTTGCAGCTCAGGAACAGATAAGTTAAAAGGTCTCACTGTAGGTAGAATATTTCCTATCCTATCTTCCTTTATATCCAGCTGAAGTAGGTTACTTAAATTTACATTTATTATTATAAAATCATGTATAAAATCAATTTACATTTTATTATATAAAAAAACCATTTCTTCAAATCAAATCACTTCCAAAAGAAGGTATCCTTTCATCGCACTTCGTTACATTGTGTTACTTTCTAATTTAGATGAATTTAATAAATTCTGTCTTCTTGAGATTTTGATAAATCTAGAATTCTTAAGGTTAACTGGTACTTTCGACAGGCTTCTTTTGTGGTCATTACTATATAAAACAGTTGTATGCATTAGATAGAAATATATTGATTTGTGTTCTCTTGTCTTCACCGATATTTGATACTCATTGAATATTTTCTGTATATCTAGAGATAGGATACAATCAAATTGTTGACATTATGGTAATATTTACAAACTCAACAATTACACCACAAGGAGCGCATTTAAACCAATTAACCAAATGTAGTGTAACAGGAATCATCGAAATAGTTAAATTGTAGGGTGTCGAATAAGCTAATTATTTCGCCAAAATTAGATAACCATGTTAAGAAATACTTCAGCCTCAAGTATTAGTGCAATTAAGGCTTTTTTTTATAGTGATCGTTGTGTTTCCAGTCCATGAGACTATGTATTAAATTCTTCTCGCGATCGTATATTATTGATTCGGTAGTTTAACTTCCTTAGTAGTGGAATATTTCAACAGAAAGTTTTTTCTCAATTTATTTTCAGTCCCCCATTTTTTAAAACCTAACACTTTTCCAGTGTTCGTTTCGCATCATTATTGGCTATTTTTTTGCCTGGAGTCCATAATTCTTAATTTGAGCTTTTTGAAAGCGCCACAGGAGGTAGGTATCAAATAGAAAGGGAACAGGTTGTTGTTGTACTCCCTGGTGAGGTCTCGTGTTTCTTCTTTCTCCTAATTCTCCACCTCTAACCTCCTCCCTCCCACCTCCCATTTCCCCGCTTGTCCTTTCACAATATTTAATGTATTTGCTGTCCACTGTAACAAATGATAATGACAGACTATTTCTTTGCTTGACAATATCCCACCTCTTTTGTTATTATTTTTCTCATTAATGGAATAGATTTTGAATAGCATTTCTTTAAAATGTCTAAAACATTCTCCTAGTCAAGCAGACATTATTTGGCATAGCCAGTTTCAGTTATCGTTTGATTTTTATGGATGATTCACGTAATTTTTCTTTCTTTTTTCTATGAATGATTGCTTCTGATGATAAGAAAGGTATTGTGGAATTGCTGATATGCTTGCGGAATGGTAGATACTTGACTCCATAAAATGTACATCATGTACCTCAGTCAATATCGAAGACACCAAAGAAATTTTAGTTCTTAATTACCTAATTTTCGATAAAATGAAACATGTTTGTTTTCCCACGAAATAACTCCTTAATTACCGTGAATAGCCATAAATCAAAAAGCCTTACCTTGCCACAAAATTGATTGATTAATGAACATGCTAAAGTTATTTGAATATTTGGGAGTTTAACAAGTTGTTTCATATTAAGTAGACAGTGATAATATTTGATATCCAAGGCCTATGTAGTATTTGTTGTGTAGTAGTTGTCCACAATGTAATATGATTGTGTCAGCTGCCACTGATGATATATCGAAAGATATGCGTGGCGTGGGAATCGATGTACATCTCGTGGTTAATTAGTAGTAACATATGTTGCTTCGATTAAAATTTCAAATCCCGCCTTTTTTGTATTTTTGATTTTATAAGTTTAAGCATAGTGTGTCTATTTCTTTTGCTTTCAATTATAGGAAGCTTCATAGTTGCATTAAGGTAACCTTTTATGCATTACTAAGGAGAATGAAAATCTTTTTCTTTTATTGCCTTGAATCTCAAATCATTATCATTAAGGTATTATATATTGCGTAGCACTTCTTATTAACACTGATTAATGTCGAAATCATCTTCCGTGATTACTAGTCTCCTTCAAGAGATGAAATATGTTTTTTTTTTTTTTTTACATCGCAGTTTCCTGTCCACAAAAAAACTTTTTTTTAATGCAGTGCCAAAACAATTAACCTTTTTTTTTTTTTGTGCAAAGTGTGAAAGCAGTAAGGAGGGAAATTCGTTTTTAATTGTGAACAAAAATTGCTGCCTATTTTAAAATTCGATGTTAAATAATGAGTGATTTGTAGGAGGGCTGCTGGGATGACATTTGGAATTATGATAATAATGGTTCCATAGAGTCATGTGTGTACACTCATTAAAGATGATAAATTAATACAAGGATATATTTTGAAGTATTTGAAAGGATACGAGCATCGTATAAACATAGCATGCCTGCTAAACGTTGTACTAACAACTGCTACGATGGTTGGTTACTACAACAACTCAGATCACCGCTTACCTCGACCACTAATGCTATTGCTGCCACCAGTACTACAATATAACTCATTTCATTTCAACTGTTTAAAAAGAAACCGTAGATCGGTTGCGTATATATCAATTTGTAACAGTTGTAGGTTTGATAGACAATCACCAATCCTATTTCTATTTCAACTCATTCTTCCTCCTTCTCTCTTTCTTTTGTCAGTTTTTTTATCCTCAATTTATGTTCAATTTAATAGCTTCATCCCAAGATCTTATCCCCATACGAACTGAAGTTATGGTAACTGAAGTCTTCCTTACCTGGTAGTAGATTAAACTTAAAAAAAAAAAAAAAAAAAAAAACGTTTTTCAAGATTGGGAAAACCATATAAGATGAGATCTGTTCGAACTTTCAGACTTTGTAACTTAAAAAGAAAATCTCATTCCGAAGAGATTTTGAAAGACTGATATTCACAGTTGAAACAATTTTAAAAAGAATTATAAATGATAGCTGAAAGTTAGCGAATTCAAACTTCACAGAATTGTAAATCCAAACTATACAGAAAACTTGAAATGATTGTTTTCTTGATACTGAAAAAATTAATGGTAACTATCTTATGTACATCAATGTTCATTTGCATATGCATTATCGAATTGCTGAAATTCAAAGTTCTTGTATTTACACCTGTATCAAATCTAGACATTTCTTTAGCCAAGTAAAAAATCGAGTGCACGAAGCGGAAATTTCGGTAAATATAAGTTTAGCTGGTCCATTTAGTTTGATTAACGCTCCAACTCGATAGAAAAAAAATCCAATTTTCTTCAAAATTTCTCCTTAATTCTTGCACTTTTCCCCAAAGACGAAACAAAGTGTTTCCTACATAATACTTTCACATATTTGCAATAAAAGTGAAATGTCTTGTAACTATGCGCATATCATATCTGTGTAGATCTGGAATACTCTGCAAAATAAATTTAAAAGCTCAAATTTATGAGAAACATTGAAATTTCTTTGAAGCATAGCATATTAAATTACAAGCATTTTTGCTTTAATTCACTCCCCTGGGAGTTGACCAGCCTGATATAGCAACTTCAAATCTCACTCTCGGTTAATTTTCAGAAGATAAATTATATCAGTGGAAATTTTCCGTAATTTTAATTTGAAATTCAAGTATTCTCAAGTTCAGATACTGAATGAATTTGTCCAAGTAAACCTTATAAGATAAATTAAATAGTTTTACGTCATTAGCATTGAAAACGAATGCGATAGACTTTAAGATTTGAAATACTTAATATAAACATTTTTTAGTTCGAACAACATTTACTGCAGCGAGAAAGCCTATAAAAACATAGACGTTGAATTGAGGCATGTACAGATCGCTACTTGTAGTTGGACTGGAATTTTCGTATCTTTTCATCCAATTATTTTCAGGAGATTTCCGCAGAAAACGCTATTGCTCCGAAAATCAATTTGATCTATATTATTTTTGAAACCTATTTCATCCATAATGATACCAAGGGAAAGACCTTATTTGGTTTTCATTTTATTCTGGACACAGATTGCTAGTTGCGCGAAAGGTTTCTTTTTTTTTTTTTGTCCCTATCAAAGTTTCTGTGGTATTCCAATTTAACCAGCAGTTTAATAATTTAAGTAGAAATAAATGGTATTTTAAGATTGAATATAAGTCCATCTTTTATCAATCTATTCATCTTGCCGTTACAGCTTCTGGGTATTTTCCCATGTGCCATGTATCTGTTCGGTGTTTTCAACCCTTTTTTGAATTCGATGATTGATAAAGTAAAATAATTTCCCGATTTCTTAGTTTCATTTTATTTTATACTATTTAGACAAATAAATGGTATTTTAAGGTTAAATATAAATATGAGCATTTACACTGCGAAAAAATTTTTCATAAATCTCTGTGTTATATGAATCTCTTGAACATTCATATGTTCTCGTTTTTTTCTATCTCAAAAAAAAACTAAAAATTGTGTTCAGCCTTGTTTGTTCCCTAATATTTGTCCAAACTTATTTTTTTTAATTCTTTGTTACACTTTTTTGTCACAAATTTTATCTCATTTTTCTCAATCTATTTGAAATTTTCGAAATTTTCATTGAAAATGATTTTGAGATAATCTTAACTGAGGCTACTGCTTTCCAATCTTTGAATTAAAAACGTTTCTGACTTAGTTTTGTTATTTATATGATGTGAATTCTTTGTCCATTCTTTATTCCCACTGAATAAATTCAATTTCGTCTACGTTTAACTCAGTTTCAAAGAATTCGACAGTGATTGCAAGCCAACTTTAATGTGTTAATTGTTGGCTTGCAATGTTAATGTGTTATCACATTAACAAATTTGAATCCCAACTTTTACAAAATTCCCATATTTGAGAATTTTAATCCAATGTTTCGTTTTTCCTATGAGGTAATGTTTGTTTATCTTTATTTGCAAGCTGATTGAAATAAAGAGAAAAAAAATCAAAATTGAATTGATAGATGACAAAAATTTTTGAAATTCGATCCATTTTTTTATTTACTGTATATCTTTTTACATCCTTATGACAAGAGAGCATTTAGCATAAGAGCGATCACTAGGAGTCGTCAGACTCTCAATTTTTTAAATTTCCAATTTTCGAATAAAGCTTGGGTGTTACGAGTATGACATGTGTCATGATTGTTTTTTAAAATGCATCTTGTGCCATACATTTAAAATAATTGTCATTTTTCTGAATTGATCAAATATTAAGTACTTCTTTCCAACTCACCAACTATTTGAATCAGCATATATTAATAGCATGGAAAGTGCTTTAGTGAGGCGATTTAATAATTCTTTCTTCAATTACTGCCTTTAATATCACTCAGTACATTTAATGGGTATGTATTAAAGTTATTATAAGCTTTTAATATTACATTTGCTGTGCACCTGTCACAAAACCAATTTATGCATTTTATTATCCAGGGTGAAATTCTAATAATAGGCAGATTAGAACCGCTTAAGGTTAAGTAGGTGATTTTGCCTATGTAAATTTTACAAAATGAAACTACAAACTTTTCATAATGATATTATTCCATTTTTTTACCTCTTTTTTTTTTTTTGAATTGTGATAAGAACGGGTAACTTTCTATCAATTTAGTTACATAGGTCATGGTGAGAAATAGTGGAATCAGGTCGAAAAAAAAAACAAAAGAAAACAAATTTAGAAACCTCAAGCTTGACTGTGTGTTTATATGTAGTTTACATCGGGTAACTGAACTCCTTCTTTACGTTCCATTTTTGCTTTTTTATTTTTAATAACAACCATGCCATTATTCATATGCGATCTATTCTATCCATTCATTTTACCTTTTCTGATATCAAATACACTGTGATAGTGGGGAATAGTTTGATATGCTTCCGTAAATTATCCCCAGTCATTATAAATCTAAATTGGATTATTTCTAATCAAAATTTAAAGTGTTGTTTCAAAAAATGTACTCATATTTGTTCAATAAAATAACGTTATTTGCTGTTTTAGATTATGAAATCTTTCTTATAGAACAGTATGTAAACATTGTCATAAAATGTTGTGTTCAATGACAAATCATAACACGCACTATTATCACAGTATTGTTACTTAGTCCAACAGTGACCTCCAACTGTTTCTTTATGCATCACCCATTATTTGCCGAAATTATAATTTCCATAAGATCGCTAATCACCAATAAACTTATTGCACATCCAAATACCTTTGCTATTATTGAATCGTCAAGGTATGACATGAGCATATTTCTTTCTCTCTGCATTAGATAAGTGCAATATGTTTGATGAGAGAGGGATTTTAATAGCGTAGTTTTAATAACTGCTAAATGTTTTTGTCTTTTGTTTTTGCATATTTTTCATTGCTTAGAAGGAGAAATTTTTGATCTTTACTTGTAAGAAAATGGAGAAAATGATATAACAACATTTTTTAATTAATCATTTATTATCTGTAAATTTTGATTTTTTTTTTTTGTAGAAGATGCTGTGTTCTTGACAAGACCGAAAGCAGAACCTTACTATGTTAGAGAAGGACAAGAAGGCCCAGAAATGCAGTGCAGCTTTGCTCCTGAATTCCGTAATCGTACTCGATATGAGCCAAGCTGGACAGTTGTAGCAGGTGATTTACCCAGGTTGGTTTTAACTGTAAATGAAATATTTTGGCAGTTTTTACTCTGCCCCAAAATTTGAAATAATTTCTATATTTTTCAAACCATATCAATTGTTTCGTAGAAATACTGCAATTTTTAGTTCATTACGTCGGATGAATCAGGAAGAAAATACTTTTTTTTGTTTGAATAAATTTTTCCTTCCATTGTAAATAAACTGTAACATGGTGGTTTGTATGGTTGAGGAAACGATTTGAAAATTATTTCGGGACACTGAGAGGAGACTGCAAAATTTATTAGGGCACATTTCGTATCAAAGCATTTTGCTTCAAAAAGAAATGTATTTATTTCTTCTGTAGTTTCAAGAAAAAAAGAAAAAAAAAATGAAGGTAGGGGAAAAGAGATTGCAAATTTTGAATTGAAAAAAAGAAAAATTATGAAAAAATAATTTAGGCATCTTACACGTAATGGTGTGTCATTTTCAAAACAACACTACGAATTATTACAAACAAATGGCGCATATAATTTAAAAATTCGCCATGTTGTTTTTCGTCGAGATAATGGGAAATTCTTTTGCACTCTTCTAGACAAGGAATCTGGAGCACAGTATACCGTACAAGCAAATGTTGTTGTCGTTGGTTTGTTTACGTACATGATAATTTGAGACTTTTTCCAATCCTCATAATCAAGACTGGAACATAATTATAGTACGAAAATTAACGTTTTTCCGTTTGTTTGGAATTTTCTTCAACTTTTCAAGCAGTAGGTAAATATTGAGTGGTAGTCGGATTGAAGTTTTTTGACTGATTCATGTTAAATTACACTCTAAAAGTTTTATTTGATACTAAATTTAGTGTCAAATTCATTGTGATTTGTGAGTGTAATGCTTTAAATGAAAATATCAGTGAAATGTTAGGCGATGATGGTAATAATTTAAAATTTGTGAAAGGTTTTACAAGGATAATATTTAGGCTAAAGCCTAAATATGTACGGCCCCCACCCCCTTGCACTAATATTTAGATTAAAGCCTATTGACAGACTAACATTAAACAAGCGCATAGCTGCCAAACAAGCAAATATGCATTCGTGTATATTACATGCATTACTTTTCGGTGAGTCATATAGCGTAGTAAAATACTTTTTATGTATTATGAATGACAGATACATTCAGTGAAGCGAAACTGACTGTGAATTAAATTTTGAGGTATGAACTGCTCCGTCTTTCCAATCCTATCTTCCATTCTTCAATGTGTCTGCAACTCTTCTTGTCATCAATTGCCATATTCTGGGGACAATCGACGCTTTCTCTCTTTATTGCATCAATTCTTAGAATTCGCATAATATGAACGGTAAAATGAATTAACCATCAAAGAGTTTCAACTGACAGTAAAATACGATTGATCTTATAACTGAATAAGTTTCATTAAGATTATGTTTGTATATTATTTCCGGTAGTACATGCTAGAATCACTATGCACAATTAAATATACAAAAATAGATGTGTGGAATATGTCTTTCAAAACTTTTTTTACAACTTTTAGAAGCCTCAGTTACCTGATATATATTTTAAATCATGAAAATTTATTTTGCTCATTGTTTTTTCCAGAAGAATGAATCAGATAGTAAAACAAAGGATATTTAATCCAACCCCATGCCATAAATCATTTAATAGAAGAGACTCGGCTCTTTTGTGTCATTCACAAAAAGATAGAAATCTCGTTTGCAGAAGAAAATTGCATTAGATAATAATCTTGATTATCATTATTCACTTTTTTATTCAGTGTTGTTTTTTTTTTTGTCAAAGATTAGATAACAAAATATTTCGAAGTTTGCTGATAAAACTTGCTAATATAATAGTAATAATGAAATTTAGTATGTTTGCAGCCAAAGTTGAAATAGTTAAATCTAACTTACATTTGGGTCGGGATGTTTGGTAATGTATTACTTAAATTCATCTATGGATTGCTGCTGCTGATGCGTCTAGACATTCAAATTGTAGCATAACACTTTTGAAAATGAAGCTAAAATCTACTGCTGGAAGGGTGTTTGATATAATTGTTCTATCTGTGATGTGTAAAAGTTCTTTTGAGGGACGAATAAAATGAAAAACACAACACCGCTGAAAATAGTTATAGAACTTAAGCTTTGTAGAACTTGCATTCCATTCTTTTTAAAAATTTTGAAGAAAAAAGTAGATATAACATGAAATCACTATGATTTCGTAGTTCCATGAAGGTATGGTTTTGGAAGAATTAAACTTTAGAAGGTGGAATTTTAGACATGGCAAAACTTCAGAAAGCAATCGCAAATAAGCATGTAATCAATTGAGGTCAGTATGTTTACAACCCCTTAAAGACGAATGTCGAGCCGCAATGTTTGTTTGCTAGTAGCGCGGCTCAGAGCATCTCGGTCATCCGAATTACTCACTGTATATCCATTTTGTCAACATAAAGACTAGCTATTGACTAAAAATTATCTTTATATTTTATTTATTTCATTTTAATAGGGACCACCAAATCGCACCACTTTATTATCATTTTGGATTGAAAATATTTCGTTGAATTTTATAAATGTACCGATAATAGGATAAGTTCAAGCAGTTTATCTTTGACCAATCTATTAGGATTAATGAGAAAAGATATGTACTTGATGTTCCATGAATTTGTACAGTTCAATAAATAGATGTTAGATTCTCTGAATTCTGATATAATGGAATAGTTTTCTAAAAGTTTTTATTATGACATTGATGGAGACAATGATATTTTATACTAGATAAAGAAGATTATTATCGTTGAGAAAAAGTAAGAATCACTATTCAATTATCGCCACTATCATCGCAACTTTTACAGCCACTTTGCTTATACAGATGGGACATGAGACATATTGTATACAGAGTTGGAAATTTATGAAGCATGAGCATAATTTGTAAAATGGGAATTAATGTAGAATTGAAATTGTTAACTACTGATACTTATTGTGATCTTTCTCTTTGTCCTTGTTTCCTTTTGAAGATGGCATAGGAGTTCTTAAAGGTTGTCACCTTATATCTGTGTCGTGTGTCTTTTCAAATACGGTCATTTGAGTGCGTTATAATTAATGCAAAAATAGGTATGCTCATAATACAATAATTATATAGGGAACTAGAAGGGGATGCTGAAAGATGGTTCATTTTCTACGAATAATCGTCTTCAGTTGTTAGGAAGAGAAGGATAAAAACGATTTTTCACGAACTGCCTTAAAATGAAATGCAGGAAGGGTGATACTACATTAAATAAGCCGTATGCCAATCAGAGACTTAGCATTATCAAAAGATGAATTCTGAAGAAGAGAAAGTGGAAAAACTAGTTTTCGTCCGATTTACGAAAGATTTGGAAAGGGTGGGTTAAGAACTAATTTATTATATTCTTCAGTCATAAGAAACAAGTTGATAATATTTTATTAGTTAAGAAAAAATTTGAAGAATGCCGAATATGTTCTATGAGAAGAAGAAATTTTTATTGGATAATTTGAACTTCCAGCTGTTAACTGCACCTCATTTATTCCAAAAGTTATTTATGTAACACGTATTGTCTTGTAGGGAGCCTTTACCTTTTCAGACATAACTTTTCAGCTTACCTCCACAATCACTTCTTGTTTTGAAGGATAAAGGTGTTTTAACTGGATATTTTAAGGTTATAATTACCGTAGGGAGCGGAAAAGAGCATATATTGTGACTGAGGTAAGACAGGTGTTTATTATTGAATTTTCGCCAGCATAGATAGCACAAAATTGTTATATTTTTTTGAAAAGAACGCCTGGAGAGCTAGGACAAATCGATTTCCTTTTATAAGATCAAGCTTTTCCTTTTCGAAAAATGATGCCGAATGATTTTTGCATATGATAATAGTAACAGTATTAATTTAAACTGCTTGTGAAACAAAAGTAATTTCAATATGGAACCTTCACTTAATCAGCAGTTAAAGTTTTATTATAAGTTGATTATTGAATAAATTTGGCAGTTGTGAATTTACTCAACAACCAATTAACCAAAATACAACATAGATTATTATATGAAAATGCTCTTTCATTGAAGTAATTTATCTAGAATCATTTTAGTGGAACCGGAAAAGCCAGTAATCACTCGGCAACCATCCGCAGCAGTCCAGGAAGGTGAATTGGTAACGATTGAATGCCAAACAACGGGTGGTAATCCATCGCCTTCATTTGTGTGGGTTTTCAGTAATAGATCTATGGTACCGGAAGAATGGTACCACGTGAGATCGTCTGGTTCGCTCGATCGACCATCCGTATCCATTCTTCAGTATGTCAAACCGTTAATAATTAAAGATTTTTATAATGGTACTGAATATTTTTCTATTATAAGCGATCTTCATGCCTTTGTATCAGATTTGATGGATAAAAATTTATTTGTAGGTGGCGAGTAAATGCAGAGGATAATGAAGCTTTTTTGAATTGTCAGGTTTGGAATGAAGCATTGCCGAAGGGTGAGCATAAAGACGCCAGCACAACTCGCTTAAATGTAAGTTATTTTTTTCTAATTTGAAAAGTTATAAATATCTTTAAAAAGAAGTAAATTCACTTCATCCATTTAAACAATTCAACTTTCAATGTAATGCATTCAGAGTTATATGGTACGGTCCTTTACTATTAGTAATATCCGTTCTGAACTGTTTGCGGTAGAGATGTGGGTGGCATCTCAACCGCATATTCTTAACAACTTTTACAGCTGACGTTGAGATATTTGATCCTATTTTTATTCATTTTTTCGAAACAGCTTGCTAGTAAGAGTAGTAATAGTGGTAATACCTGTGTCTCATAAACTCCCTTGCCCAGTATCGGAACTTGTATTTTGTAGTTCTGAAACACTCCTCGTAAATATTTGGTGGATGAACCTTTGTGCATATGATGCATTGATTGTAATATCTGATCAAACTATTAGTAGTTGCAATGTCGACGTATCCTTAAGGTCAATAACATATTATGTAACACACTGCTCCCATTTACTTTTCATTTGTGCAATCAAACGACCCTGAAATGATATCATCGTCCTGACCGTTAATCAATGATGTCCAATGCATGATTAACATGAAACAACAAACACAAATATAAGGAAGAGGGATCAGTTTCCAGACTTTCACTTTTATTAAGTTATTTATGCATTTCCAAAGTTTAGTAAGACTGAAAAGTATTTCGTAATAGACTTAAGCCTATCTAAAGGTTAAGTTGCTAACGTAGTTAACTTTAATTTAGTTAGAAATTAGCTTAGATTTATATAAACTAATTCTTATAATAAATTAATAAATTATTTTTGATTTAGTTACACTAATAGGCAGCTACTAAATAGATTGAATCAAAGATGATTCAATTTTACGACAAATAATTATAATTATGGCAGAGAATTCTCAGCGCATTTCATGATCCATCGATTTTTTAAAAAATTTCGCAGATTTTTTTTTAAGAAGTATTTTTGCATATCACTTTGTTAAGAAAAATTTTTTGAACAGATTAGTTATGCTTTCTAATTTATTAGAACACGAATACGATGATTTGATGATTTACTTTTAAGGTGTTATATGGACCACAAGTTCGCGCTGGTCCAGTGCATGATTACAATGTGGAAGAAGGAGAACGTATAGAATTGACATGTTCAGCAAATAGTAATCCTGCTCCATCACAGTTCGAATGGTATCATGTCGCTAGTGGTAAATTGAATTTGTTTTTGTTGTTCGTTTTTGTTCATTATCGATTATGAAGCAATCATTCTCAAATATCACTGGTTTCTGCTATTGATGGCATGAAATGGTGCCAAAATCAGGTCTTAACTTTAGGTGAACGTTTTGCCGGAACAAACTGGCAATTCTCAGTCAAACGAAAGCATGACGGTGATTTTCGGTGCATAGCAACAAATTCAATCGAAAGTGGTGTTGATCAGTTAACACTGAATGTTCAGTATGGACCGGTCGTTCAAGTTAAAGTGAATGGTTATAAATATTTCCTACATAGAAATTGTCAGGAATGTGCAAGACTTCTTGCAGTACGAATATAAAACTATTTCTTTAATGCAACCTGTTAATTAAGGTTTTGATAGTTGCTGGCTTGTTTATTTGTTACATTAAACCAAAACTATTGTTTCTTTTTTTAAAGGAACGGATAAATCCCGCAGAAGGCGATGCAGTAACATTGGAGTGCGCAGTTGATGCTAATCCACCAGCTAGTTCAATTATTTGGTCTGGACCACATGACATTGTCCATGAGGGATCGATCTTCAAAATTAATTCTATAGAAAGGCTTGCATTAATTCCTCTTTTGAAATGAGAATGCTTAGGGAAAAACAAGGAAAAACCCATTGAATAATTACTTTTTGTAAAGTTACTCAATTTTGAGCAGAATTTATATCAATCTCATGTTTAGAACACAATCCGGCAATTACACGTGTACAGCAATCAACACATTAACGGTTCACAATGCGAAATCAGGATCAATAACACGGACCGGTCGAGCATTTACTGTTGTTGATGTAATTTTCTCATTTGGCTATTAAAAAATAATTACAAGAGTAAGATAATTGGTATGGGAAGCTCAACAGATTCCTGCAAGATTGAGTGGATTTGACTTTTAATTTTTCTCGAATTTAATTTCTACTTTCGAAGAGTTTCAGCAGGTTACTGCTTTCCTTGGATGGCAAATTTCAAGAAATTAAAATTGAATATGTAGGCTTTTGGGTATTTTTCTTAAAAATCATAACTTCGAAAGTTTCGAAAAACAAATTAATCTTTGATCTTATTTCATTCTATTGTTTATGTGATGGTAAGTCCTTAAAAATTACAGGTATTGCGCCGACCAGGAAAAGCATTAATAGCGGCTTCCAGTACCGTAGTTGCAGTTGGGGGCGAAACAACATTAAGGTGTACAGCGGTTGACATTGGCAGTCCGGAAGCGGAATACCGTTGGTTGACACCATCCTCCTCTGGTAGTTATGAAGAACGAAAAACTCCAATTTACACCGTTGAACGTGCTACATTAGCTGATAATGGTGTTTATCGATGTATTCCATTTAACAGAATCGGTGATGGAGTGGAAGGCGTTTTAACGATACAGGTTAGTGTGATTCGATATAATGAGATTTCAGTGCTTCAAAATCTTATTGATTTGTGGATTCTGTAGACAAGCGAGGTCAAAACAAATCAAAAGCAATGACAAAAATTGATGCGAAAAACTTTTGACTTACCAAATATTTTGTACTGAAATTCAGGGCATAAATACTAACCAGATTGTTGTGAAACAAGCGATCTTTTGCAGATTTATATCTTCTCTCTTGATTACCATATAAATATCGATTTTGTGGTTTTATGGTTACAGCTCCTTTTGCATATTAAACAAAACTTTTTAACACTTAGAAAATGCATTGCTTAACACACAAGCATTAATTGGACGGTAGTGGACACTACTGACAATGCGTGTTCTATTCATAAAAGTGAAGCGATTTAGGTGGTTGAACCATCAAAAATAACTCATCCGCTGCCAGAAAGTTTAATTTTCAACACTGGTGAAATTTCCGTCACTTTGAGATGCGAAGCTCAAGGTTATCCAGTTCCACAGTTCCATTGGCTCAAAGATGGACAAGTAATTAAAGAAGATAGCAATTCTCATTGGTTGATCAATTCAGAACAACATCCAAGCGAGTCAGTAAATCACATTAATTTTTGACTTACAATTTATTTTTATTACTAATTTAACTTAATTTAAAGCAACTGTTAAACGCCCTTTTTTTAGCTGCTCGAAAAGTGATTTTTGCTCCATCACAATGACTGTTTTCTTGAATTTCCTGCAGCCGTTAGCATGGAACGATAAGGGCAATTACTCATGCGAATTCAGTAACGGCTTACAGAAATTTGTAACCAGTTCGATGGCACTTAGCGTAATACATGGACCAGTTATACTTAACGAACGATATCCAAGCGATGCTTTGGCTGCTGCTGATATTGGATCTACTGTAAGTCTACAGTTCTGCACACGAATCATATTTCAAAAAACTGCAATTTAAAATTCTCTATTTTGATGCTTTAGCAGGTACAATATGATCGTTTTAAAAGATAGGTTATAATTTGGTCTGAATCCTGGATTTGACAGACTGAATAAATATTCAGTACAAGATATAGAAATATGATTTTGAAGTTCAATATCATAGTACAATTAATGTTGAAATGCTGAGCTGTAAAATACTTGCATTTGTAAGTTTATTTAGGCACGGATTGTGTGCCATGTATCAGCACGTCCTGATCCGGAATTTACGTGGATCCGGAATGGAAGTGAAGTACGTGATGGGCAATCCCGATATGTTGTGCGTAACATTCGTCTAAATGATAAAATAGATGAGTTTCAATCGATTCTAGAAATCACTGATTCGGTAATCTACGATCATGGGCCATATATTTGTCGAACCAGCAATGGTAATGGACAAAAGCAGGAGTTGGTTATCAAATTACAGGCAAAAAGTAAGCTCAATTTTTTGAATGAAATCATTAGTTTTTACCATGTCAATTACTGTTTCAAGAGTGACACATAGTCTAAATGTATTTCTTCTTTCCATCTTGAGGTACTAAATAACAATGCATAGCAGAACAGTCATATTAATTACTAATTCTGTGCCTGGAACGTGTAATTTAATAATATAAGTGAATTGTGCTATAGGCAAGCCACAGGCTCCACGTGACCTCCAGTTGATATCTTCATTGTCAACTTCACTGTTTGTTGGATGGCGGCCAAGTTTTGACGGTGGTGAAGAACAAAACTTCCAGCTCGAATATCGTAAAGTGAATCCAGCAAAAGGGATCCCTGATTCAGTGGAACCCGTAGCGATTTACATTGATGGTCGTAACGCATCCTATAGTACTTTATATGAAGTAAACATATCTTTTGAAAATTTTTTAATGAAAAACAGCATTGTTGTTGATTGCTTTTATTCTTAGCAACAAAGCGCAGCTGTGATTTTAGGATGGAATGTTGCAGTGTTGCATATTAAAAAAATTAAACTAAATTGATAAGGAAACTCGAAAAGATCTCAAGCGCGAAACTAAATTATGCGAACAATAAGATCCATGTATTCTTTTAGTAAGATATAATTACTGTATATTATATAAGAAGATAATGATTCCACTCCCCATGAATTGCTATAGCAGATTTCTGAATTAGGAAACTGTTAATGGTTAGCAAACACAATTATGTTGCAAAAAGATCAGGTTAAATTATTTCAGGAAGAAGAAACTAATCATCACTCAAGGCAAGCTTTCTCCTCCATTGCTTACGTGGTTTACAACATTAGCTATCTGAATCCATTGAGTACGTACTGGTTTCGAGTTCGTGCTCGAAATTTAGTAGGTAGCAGTGACTGGACTCCGGTCACAACAGCAACAACATCGGATGTACGAGAATGTGCAGCAATACCTCGACCATTGACTCTCTATTACAATAGCGCTCAGCAGAAAATTGATTTTGAGGCAGTAATTTCCGGAATTTTCATGAAACTTAAAAACCAAAAAGTGTTAATTAAAATTAATAGTCTATTCTATTCTGATAACTTTCGTGTTTTAAATCATTTCTGTTTAATCCGATTTTTACGTATAGTTTCGAAAACAGAAAGTGAAAGAACTAGTCAGATGAAGATTTTCTTACTTAATATTATGTGTCAAGAGATAATTTGCAACATCAACAACTGAGAGTTACGTTGACATGATAAAATTATTTCATTTATTTTTTGCAATTGCAACCAATTATTTATTTTTCTCAAAATATAGTTGATTTTTTTTTTTTCAGACGAAACAGTTAAATGACGAGTTTTGTGTTCTGCTACTATTTGCGTCAAGTAAAAATGAGCAGGACATTGAAAGAAGTGGTGGCGAAGAATTAAGCGCAAACTGGCATGCTTTGGACTGTTTTGATCAGACTCCCATCTATGATGTACCATCCGCGGATTATTTGAAAGCTCGCTTGTGCCATAAGCTAAATATTGCTAATTGTTCGGCTGCCTCAGAAATCATCGGTTAGCTTTTTATCAAGTTATTCGGTCTAATTTTCCTACTCAGCCGTCGTTGACTTGGGACACCTAACTGTTCTTCCTTTCCGAATTCTGAAAATAATAGGAACGTATGATGACAGAGAATATCATAAACTGATCACTTCGTTTCACTTAAATTTAGCTTTGAGGATGTCAGTGGTGTATGTGTGGCGAAGTGGTTGTATAGTGCCACATTGTGCGCGTATCTCGCGTTCGAATCCGCAGCAGTTGGACCTCAACTAGTTGCTAATGATGTCTTTGATAGGAAGAGACATAGCTTCTGGGCCTTGATGGATAACTTTGATGTACGTCTGAAGCAGCAGTCCTAATGAAACCTGTAACAAATGTTTTAACTGTGTACAATTTACAGTCTCGTCAACTCTTCTGGCATCTGGATGGATGTACGCGATACCGCTGGGTGCTGTAGTACTTTCCCTGTTGTTTACACTTTGCTTCATAATCATCTGCTGTCAGATGCGACGAACACTTAACCTTAAGAATAAAAAAGTGAAGAATTTCACCAGTATCGAAAGGTATGATTTGTAGGCTAAAAACTTTGAAATATTTTGATTTTCAGCCCACATGCTCTGAAAATTAATAAGTTTATTTATCCTTCAGAGTTGTTAAACTCTCGTAAGACGAAATTTTTTCAGAAGGAATGATGCTAATGCACCATTGTCGCAGTCAAATACTAAAAATACTTTAGTTCATGGATCTCAAACCGATAGCGGTATTTTCACTCTTGGTTCAACTCCCAATACTAACAAATCAAATGGGCAGTCGTCTCAGAACACTCAAGGATTTTCCGCGTAAATTTAGATATTATGTACTTCTTAGAACTCAAAAACGACTAATATGGTGTTATCTCACAGAAGCTGTTTTAGAACTGGTACGGTTGCAGACCAGTGGAATACCAATATAGAACCATTTAAATACAGCAATGATCCGTATCTTCAAGAATGCAGTGCACAGTATCAAATCTCTCCTTTCCAAGACAGCAAATATGATGGTTTTATAGATGGGTAGGTTATGTTTTCATCAAATCTTAAAATTTTGTGCCCTTTTTATAACTTGACTTCGGTATTATTGAAGTTTAGAGCATTTTGATTTCTTCAGCTCTACTGAATCTATATCAAATGCTTTCTCTAAAATAATTTTTTATTTTTAGATATATAATTTCAGATTTCCATCAAACGATCAGGAGTTAAACGACCACCGAAATAGTGTAGATGGTCCTTCAACAATAATACATGATGATCACGATAGCGATGAAACATCTTATACAACAAACGGTACAAGGCGAATCATGCGAGAAATTATTGTGTAACACTGGATGCATTAATTATCAATATTATTATTAATTATTTGAAAAAAGATTGCGCAAATCGTAGCAGTTGTTGACTTTTTAAGGCTGTTCAAGCGAAATGTTGTACCAGATAGTTAGTTCATTAAGATCACTGAACATCTTTACCATGACCGCCTTTATCGCCAAGTACTCTGTGATTGTTTTACTCTTCTTGTATATATATATATATATATAATCGCTATAATCGTCTACGGGTATCTATTGCCTGTATTTCTTCCTCAATATCATTGAGTGCTTATAGTTGGATATTATCCTGCGATGACAGTACCGTAAATATGATACGAAAAAACTTTGATACTTACAATTCCCGGTAAGACTGAGAATTTTCTCCATTTTTGTAACAAATTATATAAATTATCATTGGGGATTTTTGTAGATGCTAATTTTGTTCCCGTTTATTAAATTTATAGAGTCACTACTACTCTTGCTAATAATTTGATGTATAATTTGTTTGTTACAAAATTTTATGTATAGGTCTATTGTTTGGATTATCATTAGTGTTGTTGCTGTCGCTATCATTTTACTCAGATTTTTAGTTAACTATTATATCTTCAAAAGCTTTAATCCTCCCTGAGGTTAAATTGAATCTTTCTAAGTTTGAAAATGGAAAAATTAAGTCATTGTGATAATAAGGTAGAATTTATATTGTCTGTACTATTTCGCTCTTACAAATAATACCTTGACAACAGTAATAGGTGCTGGAAGTGGTGTACAAAATACAGCTTGGCCATTTTCGTGCTGTCTTTCGTTGTTCTCTTCGTTTTTTCGTTTTCTTTTGTTCTTATTTTCAATGATTTAGATCTCCATTATTGTTCTTACTGATTTATTTATGACAGGACTTCGCCGAGCTTACCATTCTTCTATCCTGAGAAATCTACAGTTATAATTACAATTCGGCTGAATAACATTTGTCAAGACCATAGATCACTTATCTTTTCTCATAAAAGAAATTTAGAGATTAGAACTAGGTAAGTTAAAAGTCTGTTATTTAACAATGGCCAGTTTTTTGATCATATCATTGGCAGAATCAGTTAGCTTTGTTGCCTAACATCAAATTGTTTCGTTTTTCAAACCGGTTGTTTTTTTTTCCAGGACTTTTCGTGCATATTTTTGAAAAGAAACTGCAATTAAAATATATGCACTGTTTCTTACATGTCCAACAATGCAAACGTTAATTGTCACCGAATGGTTGACAATTTGGGGATCGGTGCAATCGATTCCTGTTAGTCACACTTGGATTGATCTAAATCGTTCCTTGGAATTTAAGCAATTAAGCAGCTAGCAATCCTTCTAAACACTGCTTTTTTCTATTTGTCAAAAATGCATGCTCTATTGAACACCCTACTTCCAGTCATCGATGCACTTCCATGAGGCGCATAATAGGTGATCTGTAAAACTAAAAAAATTCAGAGATTGAAAGCCGTCTTCACACTTACATTATACGAATTGAACATACATACGTTCGGGAATTATGGTTTTATTAAATGCTGATATTCCATTAGCTTAATCTTTATCTACTTTTAAAAACTGGTATAAGTTCTGTTAAACTGCTTCCCTCTTTCGTAAGTAAATGTAATGAGAGATGATCAGAGTAATGTTAATTCCAGTTCTTTAAAATTTTAGATGTATACTTCTTGTTGTACTCCCTTAAGATAACAGATAGCATGCATTTATTAAATGTATTATAGAATATACGATAAACAATATCTAAAATTAGATGAGTCATTATTTATTAGATCATAACATATCACTTTAAAAATCATCCGTGTTTTATTTCTGATATGGTTTTTACGAAATAAAGTATTTGTTAAATGCCTTTCTCTAGTGGATGATATTAATCAATTTTTATATTTAATCAGTTGGTTTTAATCATCCGGGACAAAACAAATTAGACCGTCTGCCAGTTTGAAAGTGAATGCTTTAAATTGCATACTGGAAGAGCTCGTCAAGTTGGTTCTGGAAAGTGTTTCCGTTTTTATACAACTTGGTCTTATAAAAATGAACTGAAATACTAATTTATTCGGGAAGTAATTCAACTTCCTGCCTTTATTACTTCATTGCTTTTACTCGAAAGACTTAAAAGATTCTAAAATTTGATAAAGTTGAAGAACAATTGATAAGTTTGAAATGTAAAATGAAGAAATCTCGAAGCTTTAAATCGAAAGAACGATTGTGGAGTTTCTTCTAACAACCAGGAATTTTCATGAGTAGTACTGTATGCTTGTGTTTTATAAAATAATAATCCTGGCTACTTCAACTCTGGTCTAATTGGAGAAATCTCCTGTCGTGATTTTTTTTGAATTCCTACTAAATTGTTGTTTGAAATCTTGAAATGATTACCTCGATTCAGAAACTAATTAAATTATCGGTCAAAAACCGTTTTCGTACACCAATCAACTTACCATTATAGATACATTGAAAATATTCGATGTCGTAAATGCAGAAGAAGGACTCTACAATATTCGAGGAAATATATCTTAGGAAAGCAATATCATTTCTTGTTAAACAGTGATTGACTCTGATAAAGCAATTTATATATTAGTGATTAAGAATATGAAATTTAATTAAAATTTTTTTTTTTAGGTATAGAATTACAATCAGTGAAACTTTTAATTCTTCTGTACATTCCTTGTTTAGAAAAGATTTTGAAAACTGAACGTAAAGAAGTGGAAATATCCATCATAAAATGTTAAATATAAATCTATTTCAATCGGTCTATTTCAAGCCTTTTTAATAAACATTCAAGCTGATCACAAATATCCCGAGTTTTTTTATAGTTCTAAATTTAACAAAATTCGTCCTATACTTCAATGTAAATTTTGAAATATCTATTTTGATTTTAAATATCCGAAACAAAGAGGCATGAAAGGACACTGAAATTATTAATACATATACCTTTGCAAACAGAATGAGATGATCACCATTGGTATCTAAAACATTTTTGAGCAATATCTGCATGGATAATCAGAGATTTAGGCTGATAAAGGCTTTTGCGTTGCATATTAATCCATCAATAGTGACGACTTCTCTGAACATCAAACATCAACCTTGAAATATTTTAACATTTCTTCTTCGAAATGAATTTGTTATTTATCACTACCAATAGAAATTTTCCATAAAACATTTCATAATTCAGTAATCGGGTAATTAGGAAGCTGTCATTTAATTATGGTATAAAAAACTAAAGTTAAGACAATTAATGAAGAAGAGAAAGACAAGTTTTTGAAGAAACTTTTATTTTTGGAAATAAACACTCAGGAATAAACTAGAGAACTGTAACCCTTTTATTTATCTTTCATTCAGTTATGTTTCCATTGAATATGATAATCATTTTATTCATACATGGACCACATGCCGTCCTTTTTCAGGCATATATTAACCTATAATGGGGGTGATCCAGATAGTTAAGTTAAACAAAGTGCGTTTGCCTAAGCTATTCAGCATCAGTACAATATTGCCCCAAATAAGTTCTTTAGAAATAAAACTTCGAGATATCTTCATCTTACACTTCAAACTTATGAATTGCTCTTCAATTCTGTCAAATCATGAGAAAAGACAATCCTTTCAACTAAAAGCAATGAAATAATGAAAACAGAAAGTTGAAATAGGTTAATATTACAATTCATTTTTGTAAGCCTAACTTGTATAAAATGGAATAGAAGAATGGTAAGCTCGGCGAAGTCCTGTCATAAATAAATCAGTAAGAACAATAATGGAGATCTAAATCATTGAAAATAAGAACAAAAGAAAACGAAAAAACGAAGAGAACAACGAAAGACAGCACGAAAATGGCCAAGCTGTATTTTGTACACCACTTCCAGCACCTATTACTGTTGTCAAGGTATTATTTGTAAGAGCGAAATAGTACAGACAATATAAATTCTACCTTATTATCACAATGACTTAATTTTTCCATTTTCAAACTTAGAAAGATTCAATTTAACCTCAGGGAGGATTAAAGCTTTTGAAGATATAATAGTTAACTAAAAATCTGAGTAAAATGATAGCGACAGCAACAACACTAATGATAATCCAAACAATAGACCTATACATAAAATTTTGTAACAAACAAATTATACATCAAATTATTAGCAAGAGTAGTAGTGACTCTATAAATTTAATAAACGGGAACAAAATTAGCATCTACAAAAATCCCCAATGATAATTTATATAATTTGTTACAAAAATGGAGAAAATTCTCAGTCTTACCGGGAATTGTAAGTATCAAAGTTTTTTCGTATCATATTTACGGTACTGTCATCGCAGGATAATATCCAACTATAAGCACTCAATGATATTGAGGAAGAAATACAGGCAATAGATACCCGTAGACGATTATAGCGATTATATATATATATATATATATATATATATATATATATATATACAAGAAGAGTAAAACAATCACAGAGTACTTGGCGATAAAGGCGGTCATGGTAAAGATGTTCAGTGATCTTAATGAACTAACTATCTGGTACAACATTTCGCTTGAACAGCCTTAAAAAGTCAACAACTGCTACGATTTGCGCAATCTTTTTTCAAATAATTAATAATAATAATAATTTTTGAAAACTTCAAAATATTTGAACTTGAAAATATTTTTAAGCACTATTTTTGTGGAATAAACTAGCACAAAGAAAAAACATAATCTAAATGATTTAAAATTCATTGGATTGCGTCCGGATCAGTGCTACACTTTCCGGAATGTACCACAACGTCATCTAAAGCTATCTAGAATTGATTACACTTTCTTTTTCTTCAACTTTGAATGACACCGAACCCATCGATGCGTGTTGCAAAAATCATTTTGAAAAGTGGTCATTTGTTTCCACCATTCAAATTTTGCAGTTTTGATGGCTTGTCATTAAATTTGATCGCTCGTTAAATTTCCAAAGCTTCTACGCAAGATTTTCTTTTTTATTATTAAAAACCATTTTTAAGAGCGAAATTATTAATAGTTT